CCCCTCCCCCCTTCCCCCTCCGTTGATTGGGAATTTCTTAAGCAGCTCCCAAAACGCAGACGCGTTTAGCACTGAACTATTAAGACATTTTTAGACTTTGAGTAGAATAGACTGAAAATACGTTAAGTGTCTGAATACTGTGAAATTCCTAATTAGCAATTGGAAGTGTTAATCGCTTTGCCGCAATCGTTGCAGAGCAATGCGAATCATGTGTAATTAAAGGCTAGGATGTCTGAGAGAAAGCGTAGTTCAGGTAAATTTATCACAGTATTATAATACAATTGAGTATGCGAAAATCAGAGGAATGTAGAATTATCTTTCAAAATTCTTAAATTGCAGGACGAGTTGATATTCCTTTAAAGAAACCATTTTTCTATAGGTCTAGATTTTGGCCTGGTGTGGCATTTGGGTCATTAGTTCAATAATGCATTAAGCCTTCTGATTTCAATTTGGATGTAATTCAAATTCGGCGGATATTTTCGACAAATTTTGGATAGGGCTTGACCAACTCAATAGGCATTGAACTCTAAGACACTGAATTCGTATTAAAGAGCACCATGTGTGCCAATAATTGAATTTTAATTACACACCTATTGGAAACAGCAGAATCGATTGCTCCTACCTGATTGATCACCTTATATTAGGAGAAACTTCAACCATTGGATAAATTGTGTCCAAATACTCGGATTTTCCAATGGTTCAAGATACCTACCCAATAGAGAATGTCTAAAATTAAATGAATTTTTAATTTTACTTAAACGGTGATGCTTATATTTTTGGATAAAATTATTAAATATTTGGCTATTGTTTGTTAAGAGACCTAGTAAATTAAATTCCGAATTCTATTGTAATCGAAATAAATTTAAAAAAAGGATAGGAAATAGAAATTGTAGGTACGTTATAATTAAGTTAGACTCTACTGAAATTTATATTTTTTGGAAAATGCTATTTTTTAATAATAGTGGTTTCATATAAAAAATATGGCGGTGATTGTGTTACTTTTATTTATCCATGAAATTTTCAATGAAACGTAAATAAATTAGCAAAAATAAATGAAATGATAATCAAAGTTGAAAACACGTGAGAATGAATTTCCTTGACCTAAAAGGCAGTTTTAAATCGTGTTTCTAATTATCGACAGCCCGCTATTATTTTCTAGTCTAAATTTCAGAACAATTTTTCAATGCCATTGAATGCTATTAACACAAGATTCGTAAATTTAGAAATTAACTGTAAGGCACGAATGTATCATCTTCTAATTATTGAGTTATTGGCTATGATATTGATATTTTTGTTTGAGGTTTGAGTTGCTGATGTTTTTCTTGGAACCCGCCATAAATAGTTGGCATAAAATAAGGTGGTGTTTCTCAAACAGGTTATTATTTCGAATATGTAATCTCCGGGTGGATTATGCCTATGTCTAAGTATAATTAAGTAAGCGGTAAGTTTAGATTTTTTCATCTAAATCTAAAGACTTAGGTTATTTAGACTACTCCAAAAATATTGCCTGTTTGAAATTGACAGATTTCAACTAAAGCTGCTGATATCTTAAAGTTATTCCCAACTGTGATGCATTTCACGAAAAGCATTTTTTCGAACATTATGTTCTATTAGTCTTACTTTGATTTTGAAATCAGTTCCTATTCACATGTTCCGTTTCACATTATGGTAGGACATAGGGTCTATAGCTACCAAGGGGTTTAAATTGAAATGTGATTTGCATCTTGAAACCAGAATTTTCGCAAATATTTTTATCTTTAAATTTATTTTAGCTAATGCCTGAAAGAGAAAATTGATTTGTTTTTTCTGGATTTTGCAGTTTCATGAGAACACAACATTTATGTGCCTGAATTTGTAATAAGGTAAATAAACGCCTCAATTTAGAATTAAGACTATAATAGCCTCCTAAAGATATTTATCGAATTCAACTGACTATTAGAAAGCAAGATTTTGTTTAAAATCCGTAAATAGAGATAATTTTTCAATGATCAAATAACTAGTTCATGCATCTTGTCTTATTTTCACTAGGACGTGTTTTTTATATGTAATATATGCTAATATAAATAACACTTTTATAAAGGGAGCTTTAAAGCGATCAATGTAGTATCTGTAATTTAAAAAAACTTTACCAATAAGCAAAATTACTTTCACCTATTGACCAATTTTTGATGCTGTATTGAATTTTATAAGTTCTATTTATATCTTTTAGCATTACTCACCATTTCATTTTTACAAATAGAGCATTGAAATCAAATACCTAGATAATTAATAAGTATATGCAGATCATCGGAAAGAAATATGTATATTTATTTAATTAGTTTTACCGTTAGTTTACGTAAGCTGCATTAATACGCAAAGAGAATTGATTATTAAAGGTTTGACTGCAGAAAGAAACATAAGCATAACTGATAGCCAATCAGAAAGTTTTCAAATACTGACCAATCAACATTCGTGAGCTTTCATTTTGAATTAGAGCCAATTGTGCACATAGAGGTCAAATGTTAAACTACCAGCCGTTGGGCTATTCACTGATTGTGGAGGTAGCAACTTAAAATTTGCAAACAGGAAATCTGGACGATCAAAATAATTACTTTATGCACTATATTGTTAACTTAGCGGCCGCTCCTTTTGATATGGCCAAATTGCAAAGCGAATCCTCCTACTCTTTGCTCAGAAGTCTACCTAAATTTGATAGTTTTTCGCAAATGAGTTCAACTGTGTGTAACTCATCAAGAAATAAGCTCAATTCTGATTCTATGGAATTTGATCTATTCAAAAGGTATAACTGACAAACCGCATAGACCACGGACTTACAATTTTACTTTAATGTTCATAATGATATTTATTTTAAATATTAACTCAATCTTTTGAATGTGCATTTTTACTATTTAGGCCTCTTCATGGCTTTCAATTGAGTATGACGGACTTGAAAGATGCGGCGTCGGTAACGAAGAAAGGCGCAGGATGCCTGTTTACAAATTTTGAAGATGTTCGGGTAAATATTTTTAATGAAGAAGCTAGTAAATGCATTTTAGATTGGATATCCCTGAAGTTTTTGATAGCCTTGAAATTTGAAACTTTTATGGGGTTATGTGACTCTTCACTAATTCTTTTACCTAAAATCAAAGTTAAAATAAAAAGATATTTCAAACAGTTATTTGTAAATTTATTTCATTGTCGGTAACCCGTTTGGATGATGAGTACTTCATATTGAGCAACAAAATTTTTGTTCTCTGATCACAAATCCTGTTTAAGTTAGAGGTGCATTAGGCTCGTTATCGTTTAAAATATGAACGTTTGAATTTCATCACGCGCAAAATATTAAATAATCATATTCCAATAAAATTAAATAAATTCGCTCATTATGTAAATACACCGTTATATATATCACGTGTTCTGTATGTCCACAACATCTGTCCTTTAAAGATTAAACTAACGGCTTTGCGCCAAAAGGTAATAAAACTATGAACCTTGAAAGTTTAGGAAATATTTTGAATTCATTCAATCATATTGAATATGTCAGCTGAATCTGCTTGATCATGAATGTATCTTAAATTTTCAATGCTCGATTTATTAATGTGCATCTCGGGGTTCTTTAAAGGAATCTTTAAAGTATTGTATTAATTTTTTAACTACAATTTACCACAACCAGATCGAAATCTTTCAGTTTACATGGATCTGCTTTCCATGGTTTTTTAATTGAAATCGAGCTAAACATCAGCAAACTCAAGTTGATAATTTCAAATATAAATTGTATGAACAATCACGTATTTAAAGACACATCTGACATTTTTGAAAGTGTGAAAGCCTAGTGCATTACTACTTGATTTGTTTTCTATGGGCGAAGTACATACATGATTTTGCAATGATATCCATATTTTAAAAACTGAGTTTAAATCCCTTTCATTCATTATTAAATATTAAAGATTAAACTTTGAAATGATTTGCTGAAACAATATATGATTCATGTTCTCGTGATTTTTACTTATATCCTCACAGTTAGACGACGTCCTTTATCTGGAGTTAGCAAAATTTTCACTCAATAATCTTGAATTTTCAAAATGTTTGATACCTTAAGCTAAAATAATTATGCGGTATTACTTTTTCCTTCTTCGGTAATTGATACGCTATTTAACAGCAAATGGAGTCTGTTGTTTCTCTTCAGATATCCAAGTAGATAGAAAATTGAATTTCTTATTTGAACCGAAAAATTTATCTACTTTTTCCAGGTTACGTTTTTTTCTATTCAGTTTTAGTCCCGAGTCGTATGCTATGGCACATCACTGCTCATTCCTTATAATTGCAGTATTCGGTTGATGCCCTGCGAAATTTATGAAGCTGTAATTACACTTAGCTAGGATGTTTACGAAAAAGCATTCATCAGAATTGTGCCAAAAAAGCTACAATTTGTTACTATTTAAATTCACTTTATGTACTTGAGGTATTTACCGAGCAAGGGTACATTCTTTTTTAATTTAAGCATTTGCTCATTAATTTTTTGAACAAAAATTAAGCAATTAAATGAGTAGTAAATTAATATCTGCTCCTCAAAATTATTTTTAACTTTACCATTGATTGAGCCATTAGTAATTTTTGAGAAATTTACGCTTAAGAACGATTCGATTATTACCAACTATAAGTAATTGCACTATACCCTGAGCGCTCAAGATGAATATCCCGAACGGTGATTTTGTCCTGCCATTTCTCAATTGAATAAACCTGTAAGTAGTTAAACTGTGTTTATTTTTAGCTTACGGATGAGGAGCGTGTATATATGAACGCAGCTTCAATAGGTGATGTCGGTGTCATTCGAATGTCACTTGAGGATGCCGACTCAACTCCTAATTTCAACGTGAATTGCGTCGATTACATGGGTCGAAATGCCCTCCATCTAGCGGTGGATTCGGAAAACACTGAAGCAATTGAGTTACTCCTCGACAAACTTTCCTTCGAATGCATCGAAGAAGCCCTCCTTCACGCAATCTCAAAAGGTTTGGTAAAGATTGTCCGTGTCATCATCGAGCATCCTAACTATATGGCATGCGAAGAGAGACTAAAACGAGTTGATTCAAATAATTCCTTTTTTCGAACAACGGAAAAGAGTCAATTCTCACCCGATATCACACCACTCATTCTCTCTGCTCACTATAACAATCACGAAATGGTCCAAATGTTCCTCTCCCGCTCCCACACTATCGAAAAACCTCACCCTATCTCATGCCAATGCACAGACTGCCAAGTGAAACAGGACTATGACTCACTGAAAAGGTCGAGGTCACGTCTCAATGCTTACAGAGCATTGGCTAGTCCTGCTTATATGGCCCTGAGTTCTCCCGATCCCATTATGGCAACATTTGAACTCCGACAAGAAATGATGAAACTGGCTGAAATTGAAAAAGAATTTAAGGTTTGTTAATTAGGCGCTTTTTCCATACTAATGCAAACACTTAAACTTTCACAATCATATGAATGATGCATAGGGTAGTACTTTCACTCATCCGGCAGTTGTTCTTACTTGACATTGACAGTCTGCTATCAACGTTGATTTAAGAAAAAATTAAATAAAATTTGTTAAGCAAAACAAACTTCGCTGAGTTTCTCTCGGCGAAAATTTTTAAACCATCAATTGCACTAAGTAGTAGATCGTTCGTTACTTCATTCATTTTTTCCCTCGTGCTACCATTATACATCAATTTCACTAGTTGATGAGCACAAAATTTAGAGTCATAACTTGTAGAATCGCGATTCACTTTGCAATTGAAATAATGTCAATTTTAAATACGATAAAATTCTCACTCCATTTTCAGTGAAATTGTATACAAAGTTATCTACATTTTATCCATCTAATAATTAAAGTTTACATCAATTTAATTAATTTTTTAATTAAATATATGAAGTGCACATTCTGTTATAATTTAAATCACAGTCTCGATGACAAAATGCAGTAGTTGAAATAATTTTATGTTGTCATTTGATCCAGTTTTAAATCATCCCACTAAAATTCAGTCGGCAGCATATAAGAATCCTTGTAAATACGTCCATCCCAACAAAAAAACAAGAAATTTTTTTCTTTCTCTCGGAGAGCCAAATTCTTCATTTTTTAAATATGATGAAGTATGACACGAAAAACACCTCACTTATTTTTTTTCATTTCCTGAGTTATGTTTATGTTATAAATGACTATGGTAAATATTTTAATAGCTATTTAAATAATTGCAATGATTTATGATAAATTTCAATTATTTTGTTATTCACATATTACATACAAAATTGTGTGCATATTTAACTATGCTTAAGTTCCAATTTCGCAGTTCAAAACACAAATTGACAGAAACTATATTGAAATTAGATGAAGAAATTATTAGGTCTCAAGGAGTTTTAGGCAATAATACTATAAAATTATTTTTATTGTGTTCAGCCATATCTAAATCAGATGCATTTGAAGTGTTCAAAAGAAATTTCAAGATCTACCTTCTAGTTTGAGAATCTGAATAAGCTATCCCTTTTTTAATTATTGCGATCGTTGCGTTCTCTAAACATAGACATTTGACAGATGTGTAGTCTTTTGAAAAAAATCAAGAACCACTAAATGAAAATATAGCGAATTGTTTTGATTTCGTAAGTGCTAGATCATAGACTCGGTGGTAAACTGTAGACCAATAATATTTTGGTGAACCAGGTAAAGTGGGAGACCGACAACCAAGCAATAATGGTTTTTGGTGTGCAAAAACGTACATTGGGAGGATTAGAAGGATTTTCCAACTAAATTACATAATATAATAAAAGTTATCAACGCAGGGGATCAGAAATGTAGTAACCTATAGCGAATGGAACGCGTAATGTCACTGTTTAAATCTCATCAACACCGTGAATTCGAATCGACAGAGAAAAATAGACAAAAACAATGCAAACATAAAAATAGTTGTTCTGAAAGTACAATTTTAAAGTCTAATTAGGATCCTAAAAGTGGTATTTCATATTTCACAAACACCAGTTATTGTAATGATGGTAAGCGTTTCCATAGAATTATGAAGTTCAGGAAAATTATAACTTATCAAATTTTATTAAATATTTAAAGCTTAATTAATAGCAAATTGTTAATTTAATTTCTAACGGAAAAATAATTGTTCTTTTTTAATTAAAACCTCCCAACGTTAGTCATTTACCTAAATATTTGATCTATGGACCAACCTTGAATCACTTCTGACAAAAAACATAAGATCAATGATTACTCTAGGTCTCGTGAATTTCTGCATTTCTGAACTATCCATATGTACTTACGTTGTATTAGTTTTCGATTTAATTTCTAAATCGGCTCTGCAGAGAGTAAATATTTTTGTAATAGTAAATGATAATTTAGACTCTTCCACGCGGCGCTATCGGGTACCAACATTTTAAATAGCAAAAATCCATTGCAATAGTTACTCGCCTTGCAACATAAGAAGTTGTCTTTTTACCGTTTAGATGAGTTATTTGTTCACGTCAGCGGGATTTGGCGAAGACTGGAAAAGGGAGGCATTTTCTATGCGTTAAATGCCCCTCAATCGAAAAGGAGAAAACTGATCGACATTTCTGATAGCAAAAATGCTTTGTAAACCATGATTACCAGATAACTGACAAAGGTCATCAATGACGTAATGTTAATAGCAGACTTAAAGGGCATGCCCGAACTGACTTTGTATTTAATTCAACGTAGGATAAGGTAGGAGGTTACTTGGATGCTTTTAATACTGCGGAGACCAATATGAGACCACGGAACCTTGATTCGAGCGCACTTGCAATCTTGAAGATAAAGCATTGAGAATGTTTAAAAAATTCGATTCCTTGCAGTTATTATCGTTCCCAAGTATTAATCAATTGGGATGGTAGATGAGTTTCGGTTTAGTTCGAATATATTTATACAAATATAAAAATTTCCTCGACGATCTTATTGGGCGATCTAGCAGTCCTCTGATGGTAAAAGTTCGAAAAAATCCTTTCTGCTTATTTCCAACAACGTGTTTGATTAGTCTGGTGATTAAGCAGAACGTATTCAAGGATTGATTACTCCATTGTCACGGCAGGCCCAAGATAAAATCCCGCTAGAACTACTTAAGGTACAAATGGTCTAATAAATATGGTGGTACTATATTCCAATATCGATATTTCAGCCCCATATCATCATCGGTCGCCTTCGGCAAGAGTTACAGTAAGAGAAACATTTATAAAATCATAAAAGGACAGGAAAGTGAATAGATATTTTCAAAGGATTTGTGTAGGAATAGGTGTTTTATATATGAAGGCATCAATCGACAACTTATGCATAATTAAAAGCAGAAATTTCGTGTATAAGCTCTAAAGCATTTTAAAAATTACTTAACGACTCAATGTGTTTTGTAAAATGGTAGTCTCGTTTGGTTTCACCACTGTAAGATCGTCAAATATTGTAAAAATTCTGAAATTCGGCAAGACGACTACAATTCAACTTGGCATATTATATTAAATAAGCACATTTTAATAATCATGAACGAAAATTTAAATTTGTGCCCAACAATGATGTACGAAATAAAACAGATTTTGCGAGACTAGGAGATGGACCTTAAAAAAAAACAAAGCAAATACTTCCGGTTGATCCGTTTAACTTCGGCAGCATTTCTGCATGATTACTCCTCTCATTAGTTTTAAATAAGCGCAACAATGTTGTCCTTCTATCTCAGCGCGAGTATCTGACGTTGGTGGAGCAGTGCATGAATTTCGCCTGCGAGATGATGGATCTTTGTCGGGGCACCCAAGAAGTGGAGGCCGTCATTTCGGACTTTCTGGAAGACGGCGCTTACGTTCGTGATCCCCTCGGTCGCCTAAGGCTTGCCATCCGATTCGAGGAAAAAAAGGTCAATCTGCTTTCACAAATTATTTTGTTTCATACTTTTTTAGTAATAATAACATTCAAATTAATATTTTCTGTGTAAATTTATGCTGCTAAACAACTACTTTAAGCTCTAAGCAGTTTTTCGCTCTATAGTGAGCAGTGTTCATATTATGACTGCTGATCTTACTGACTAGTCGACGGCACAGGATGGTTGTCCTGGAAATTTCGCTTTATTTGGATCTTTCCACTGCCAGGGAGAGGTGGGCTTTATAAGTGACGATATTTCACCATAGAAGGATATATAATTTACTAAAAGGAGCTTCTGGCGGCATGAGTGTGAATATATGAAAAATACCGAATTTCTGCTATAAAATAAAAAAATGTCAATAGTTCTACATCGCATTATTAGTTACAAAGTGCTAACACTCTTATTTGTCAATTCTTGAAATTTAGACAAATTTTAAATCTGGTTGACGCATTCAATTTGATTCACAATCGCTTTCATTTTAATTATGAAAGAGCTCTTTGCAGCTTGAACGAACTGGGAAGTAGGTTTGATTCTGCTTAGTCAGGCCACATTTAAATTTATATTGTTTCCATAAAAATTATTAAATTGAATCTTTCCATTTTATAATAAAATTTAAATCTGTTTAAAATTTTTTTCCATAAAGATTTTTCTTACTCTGTCTTTTGAGAAATACGAGTTAATTAGATTCCATTTCAGCAACATATATAATACTAGAGCATAATGTCTCATAATTAATTATTTCGTTTTTAGTACTTCCGTTAAAACGATAAAATTGAAGTAGAATGGACCACTAGGACTCTAAAGTTAACAAGATTTTACCAGATGATTGATGTGGTGTCATTGAATCCTTGTGCTACTTATTGAATTATGTTATGCGTTTCATCAGATTAATTAGATTTCGAAGGGCATTAACTCTTACAATAGCGGCATTTGAGCAACAGTAGCGGATACCTAAGGAAACATTATTTTCTATGTTGGCAAATAAAATGATTAATAACTTTTAGATAATTTTATTATTATCCATAATAATAAATTTTGCAGTAAATTTAATTGTGCTTAATACCATCATTCTTGTAATTTCAAATCATTCATGCACGCGTATTAAGGAGAAGATTCGAGAAAGTAATTCAGTCGGAAACAAATCCGTTAACCCCTATCCTTACAATGAAAGTTCACTTCAATTTCGATTATCATCAAAAATCGGCAAAATTTGGTCAATAGTTACAGCATTTCATAAACTACTTCGCTTATGTCAAGATATTAAAAAGCTGTTAACTTATGAACCCATATTCCAAACATCATCAGATCCCAAACCCAAACCCAAAATATCTTTACATATAAATTGTTTAAACTCGAATTTTTTCATTTAAGAAAAATATTATTATTATGACGCTCCTTAAATGACCTTGTTATACCTTACTGAGGAAAATGAAATGTTGCTAAATAAACTAATTTCATTAAAAATTGACACTTAAAGGTTTATGGTAACCATTTTTTGTGACCGAAATTGCCTAAAAAAGTCAGATACTGAAAACTATTAGTCACTCGAAAACTCCTAAAAATTTAATAAAAAATAATACCTAAATTAGACATTTTCCGTAAATACACATTAAACGTATCATCAAAGATGCTCCTATTTTACATTGACATTTACTGCGCTTGTTTATCCGCCTATTTTTCTGCTTTATTATTATTCTGGGCAAAAACAACGTTCTTACTTTACAGAAACGTTTAATTAACCTTGAGATAAACAATATGATTAATTGTCCTCTTGTGATCAAACACTAAGACCAATTTCAACAGCGCGTCCAAATACATGAAATTATCAAAACATCGTTAGAGGAAATTAAATACTTTTATTGCAAAAAAACTGATGAAAGGTAATTTTATGGACTAATATTTGTAAATGAACACCTTTGTATATAACCCGTTCTGTCGAAATTCGGCTTGAACGACACGAGTTCCCAACCGAGTTACCCAGAGGCCATTTTTTATTGGCCCAAAATTCAAAATTTCCTCGCATTCTTTTCTCATCTATTTTTTCGTATAGATTGTCCCATAATTTCAAGCTTTTCAAAAATATATAATACATAATGCTCATCTAAATGCATGGGGCATTAGTGAAAGAAATGAAGCACACCAGAGTAAGAAAATTAAGGCAAGATATCAGAAGATTCTTACAAATACTATCTTTAAATCTAGATCGTATTTCTTTTGTCTTTTGAGTATGTTTACTTGTTCAGAGTTAAGTGAAGGCGCCAGTTACTGAGTTCCTTCAAGTTTGAGAAATCAGCAAATCATCAACCTTTTACTTGAGTTAGCTGTTTGTCAACCCATTCACAAATCTTCTCACTTTTAATGACAATATGTTAATAGTATAATTACAGTTAAATTAATTTTGGTAGGACGGAGCTGCTAATGATTGAAATTTTTATTAGAAGTAACTCTTCAAATACAAATTTTTACCTAATCTATTGAATATATGTTTTTTTATAATCAAATCCCATCTTTTCGAAGACCGCTGATTCGCGGTCATTGATCACTGCTCTCAACGCCGTGCAGATGAATTTCTTTTTAACTTTCGTTTGGGTATCTTGAGTAGTATCTACTTGAGAGAAAGGTTATCAGAAGGCTTACAATAAAGACGTTATTTCCCCTTTTTTGAACACATTACCAATAGGAAAAAACTGAGTTAAAAACATGCTCAGAAGCGAACAACCGCTAATTTCCTCAATGAGGTTAAATGTTTGAAGATTAATTACATTTACGAAGCGTTCTGTCAACGGTATCGCACCTATCACAGTTTGTCCGGCCCAAAAAAAGTACTTCTATCGGAATCATGGTGTGGTCAAGAGAAATTCAGATCAGAAGTGCTTATGACTTTAATTTAGATTGGAAATGTTCCTTATTGATAGGTTATTTGGAAGAATTTGTATAGGAGTTCTAGGGAGTGAAATAGCCAGTCGTTCTTTTTGGGAATTGGTGATATTGTTGGGGTTTTTCGACCTGAGGACCTTCAAAGACTAGTCTTTTTGCCCTAAATGAACCTTTATAAACTTTTATCCCTAACTGAAATTTTGATTACTGAGACATTTTCTTAATGATCTTCCCATATAGAAAAAAATTATATAAATTACAATTTTTATATTGTAGTTTGTTGCTCACCCAAACTGTCAACAATATCTTACAAGTATTTGGTACGGTTCCGAAACGGCCTTTCTGCAATCTTGGTCACTAATGCGAAAAATTGGTCTCTCAATCCTTGCTGTGCCTGTTCTCATACCAGTTTGTGTCCTTTACATCCTCATACCCTCCATTAATGTTAGTTCTCCTGCATTAATGCAGTTAGGCCTTAAACTTATTTACAGTATTTATTGCTGAAGCAAGAAATCGCAAATGAAACTAAAAACTAAACCTCTCTTTCTGCTTTTAGGACTCGAATTCACTGCATCATACAAGAATAGGATCGGTAAGTTATACCATGATACCGTTTTGTAAAAAATTAATCTGCCGCTAACCTCGGGGCAAACACCTCTTCATTTATTTTAGCTGGAAGAGGGAAACACGTTTTAATTGTTTTGTTTTGCTGATAAATATAGAAAACGTGAGATTCGAATGGGTAAATTATATATGAATAAATTTAAATACCTTTGAACTCCACACAAAAGGATTTTGGATGTCACGGTGGTCTCGATTTCTCTTTACGTATATGGTTGTCGATTGTAGACAATAAAGAAACACAGATCCAGTACAGAGGTACGATCTTTAGGTCCTCTGGCAAGTTTCGGATCGTCCCAAGTGGAATAAATGTTAGACCTCCAAATTCAATGCCCCGAGCACAACGTTGTTAGAAGCCCAGCCACTTGTCATGATCTGATTGCATTAAAACCTAATTTTCGACAGCTGCGCTGAGACTAGTGACCAAAATGGACCGCTGGCTAACTCCTTTTGGTTCGTTCGATTATAGATCACGCTGATGAAACGATCTGATATAGTGAGTGATGCTTCCGGGTTAAAATTACTAAAGGGGGGGAGAAAGTGAGGAGTTAGTGAGACAAAATCAGGAAACCAGCTCTTAAATATCGTCCCAATTGTAGTTGAGGTCTCTTTGTTATTAAAAAGGCTATTTCCTTACGATTTCAGAAAGCATAAAGTCCGATCTAACCAACCAGAACGCAAGAGTGGAGCCTAGAACTCACTTAATTGTTTTGAATCTGAATTGGTCCGATTGAAGAGTCATTACCTCTTGTACGTTTGCGAAATTTATAATGAGAAACTTATTAGAACAGTACTTGATAATATCATTTTGTATGTCGTCTTATGCATTTGACCGAATTGGCAAAAATTTTGCATTCCAAATCTATTTGAAAAAAATGAACCATTTCTGTAATCGGTAAAGGTAAGCAAATTTTACTCCAATTAAAAGTCAAATGAGTTTTATTGAAATTAGCCATGTATCGCTAATTTAATTTACTCCCACCAACACCTGAACCACCAATGAATGTTCATACAAAGTGCTTGCTGTATGGACTTTGCAAAGTTCATAAATGTTTCTTTGTGATGAGTGATAGAAGTGTATACGCTTAATGCTGCTTACTCGCATTCATTCGTATAATGAAAAGAACTCAACTTTAGATCAATCCAACTCAATTGACCTTAACTAGTATTTGCTGATTTTCTTTAGCTATTCAGTTACATGAACGCGAATACGAAGCTACTTTGAAAGCATTGCAAAGGGAAATTCCACTCTCTATCACAGCATAAACTGCATCTGTTTAATATTCTGCTTCTAATAGGTGACATAATATTACGTCTAATTCCTGCATTGAATGCTTAAAAGTTCACAATCTGAATTCTTTTGGAAATAGCAATTATCAGCTTTTCACTTAAAACAGTATTTCTTACCACACGCTTTTCAAGCATTTGTTTTGAAGAAATCAACCTTTTAAGAAACTTTCCCACTTTAACTATTAGAAATAGAAGTAGGGTTTTTACTTTTAGAGAAAAGTTTAAGAAATTTCAATCTTTTCATTTTAAAAAGTCCTCATTTAGAAGCTCACCAGCAATCGTTCCTTATCGCCCCACGGATTTAGGCAGCTATCAAAAAAATGACTTGTCAATTTTCGAGTTTTTTTGTTTTTTTCCCAACAAACTTCATTAATTTCAACTGTTTCGCCTTATTTGAGTGAACTGTAATCTAATGAAATTGCTTTAGGCAGAATGAATTCAGTAGACGATAACGTTTTAAAAACTTTAAAAATTGATTTACTCTTGGTTAAACTCGACCTAAAAACAGCTATTATGATGTTTTCCTTCTTATTTTCCGCATAAAAGTTTTCAAAAATATCGTTTTAAAGTTATCTATATTTGGGGGTTTATAAAGGGTTCCAGATTTGATTTCCTCTCATTAAGTGATACGTATGTATGTAACATCAATATCTTTATGGATTAGTTAAAAAGATTATCGTGGATCTTTTCCATAGCCAATAACAAGTTAAATCAAAAGTCGCGTAAATGATATTGAACGATCTTTGATTCGCTAGTTTTCCATCTCGTGAGTACCGTAAGTGGGGGAATATGACATAGAGAGGGGTAATGGTAGTTTGAAAGGAGAAGTCAAATGCCGTTTAATAGACTTTTGTGCCATATGAGTATACGTTGCCCAGGGTGCACCAATTGGAGGTAAGTCTATCGCACACCCAAGGCTTCAATTATTGAAGTTGATGAAAGAACTCAACACTAGCGATGTCTTTTATTCCTCCGTATTTTATTGACTTATTTAAAACTTTGTGATTTACCATATTGGAGTGTACTTAAGTATACCTCTTAAAGCATTTTTCCCGAAAGTGAAAGGTTTCTTTCCATTCCACTATTCTCGGGACGAAATATATATATTGAAATATATGCTCTAACATACTTTTTTCGAAACAGTTAAAAGAGCTGTAAGTAATATTTATCCCAAGCTCATTTTAAGGAAGTGCATACCAACCCTAATCTCGGGTAGATGGCGTATCGAACTCTTGACATAAGTCTTTGTTGATGAATGAACTCTCAGTGCATTCATAAGGCTATAGAATGTAAAGTAGGTCACTTGAATTAGAATGAATAGAGGAAAGCGACTGACTGAGAAAAGAGTAGTTAGTAAAGTGAAATTCAAAACCTATTTCAATCGTTATATGACGGCTTCACTTATCAAATCGCGCTTATGCATTCAAGAGATTTAGATTTGAGATGATGATAGGGACAATTAAGAGATACTTCCCAAAATCCAATCTATAGAAAGGGTTTCATTTTTAGTCTTAGATGGAGTCTGGTTTTATTGCGCACTCCTAGCAATTGCAAAAACATTCCTTCCCAGCTTGTTTTCTTAAACCACTTCATTACGGTTTTATTTTGAAATTTAACCGGAATTTCACCGTTATAACCAATGAGTCATCTAGTCAAATTGATGAAAATTAATATGACTCTCGATATGAGCTCGAAAAAGAAAATCACCTAATTCTTGTTTTGATACTAGGGACGTAACAAAACCTAGAACGAATTAAAACTTATTAAAATGCACTTAATGTTATTGAATCGTAAAAAAAATCAAATAACCACGATGAATTACTCCAATTACTTCAATAAAAACAAACTGGTGATTGAATGGAGGTATATTCGTCTACCTCAATACGATCCCGGAGAGATTACTTGTTCCCTTTCTTACAATTCTTGTTATGTATTGTCATAATATTCCCAAGATCCAAATTTCCGATTAGAATCCTGAGCCCTTTCGTGAATTAAATTAAGAAACTTTCAGAGTCCATGAACGGATTGAATAAACTGAGTAGATGATCAAACTACAAGGATTCATTTATTTATTTGGACAGATTCGGGCATGCATCCTTGGTAGTAAAAAATAAGAATGAGGCTCGCATAAGCAAGTCAACTAAAATTGTAATTTTAATAATTTTATTACCTTTTACCATACTTCAGTCACCGAAAACCCCATTTTGATTATAAGCACAACGCCACGGTTTTCGCTTAATATACAGCTCAGAATGCTTACAGCAAGGTAAAATGCATAATTAACAGTAGAATTTAACCTTTTTTCTTTACTCCATTGCGTGTTGTGCTTTCGCTAGTCTATCATTTAGGGTGTTCGATTTATTGAAAGGACAGTTGAATTTCTTCTGTCTTACAGTGAATTTATTTCCATGTTTAAAGTGGGCTAACATTATAGTTATTTACTGGATAAATATTTAGTCAAAGCAACATATCATAACCACTCATTAGTGTAAATGCCACCACTAAAATACTGTGAAGTTTATTTTAGTATAACATTGAAAAAATGGCTTCTTACCTCTTATTTAAGTCAGGTGTTCTCTAGCCTCGAGGAAGATCGTGGTAGAGTGGAAACTCCATCAAATGCCATGTAACTAATGGGCAAAATATAAGCCCTAGTTTTAGATTGGCCTTCAATAAACTTGCGTTAGATTACGTGGGAAAATCGATAGTGGCAAGATCCATATACATGACAGTGTGTTGGAAGTCGTTTTACGAATGTTAGTAATAGCTCCTTTCAATTTGAGAATAGAGTCATTGAAATCGACTATTTAAACTGAAAGGATTTTCCTCAATAACAATGGATCGAAATGTGTGAATCCAATTTCAGAGAACTAAAGATGACACGAAGCCGTATAATCTTAGATTATAGGGAAATTGATGTAGACGTGTAGGCTTTCATGGTACATATAACCCTTTCTAAAAATTAATTTGTAAGATGACTTGGAGTCGAACCAAACAATGGCCTTCAGTCCACAATCTTGCGATGGAACAAAGTTTGTGAATTTTTATTTCCTTAGAGTTAATTATATCGAAATAACTAAAGTAAGGCTATGGATAACAGCATGCAATCAGAGTCACAAAATGGAGAATGCCATGAGTCGTGAGTGGACAAAGAATACTGTAAAATTGCGACTAGAAGTTGGAACGAATGAAGAGGTGTGGGTGAAAATAAGGATTAGTACTCAAAATTTGTTTAAAATAACTAAGTTTTGTGAACCATAGGCATATGTACTAGAGCGTATGTGTGCTATTCACCACTAGGTAATGATAACCGATAGTGTGGTTGCGTAAACGACACTTCAGCCTTAGATGAAACCAAATAGTTTACTATATGGCAGTTTGGCAAGCTCATCTCTGTCGTGAAGAATGGAATTGCTGTGAGTTTGATTCTTAAGGTTCGAACGTACTTTTAAAGGGAATATGGTCAGAAAATAACTTTTGTGAAATCAATGTGCAGTCCTTCATCAATCTCACAGGGGACATTTTTATATGTTTCCTTAGCCAACTAAACCCTATACCTGTATTTTAAAAAGTTATATCTCATTGAATCACTCAATTAGCCAACTTAGTAGAAGATGTGAAATCCTGCGACTCGAGTTGTTAACTAATTGGAGCATATATTTCTATTTACCTGTACAAATTTGATTAACCATTGGTTCATGTTTCGTTTGCCTCATGTTTACTTTGCAGATAACCCGTGCAATGCGTTGCCCCGCAATGAAATTTGCTACCCACTGTGTATCACACTTCATCTTCTTAATTCTCTTGTCAATAGCGACATTTCGATTAGAAGAGAAATATGAAAATCTCGAAGAATACAATACAACGGAGAGAGGTGTACGATCGTGGCTAGATGAGAATTTTCGACCCAGCAGAGCCATCATAACGCACGTTCAAGTGGGAATAGTATTATTTATAGCTGGTAAGAAACAATTTCTCGCTTATTCGCAATTCAATGCACTACAAAGTCTTGTTCTCTTCCTTACTCTTCTTATAACAATTCATCAGACAAGAAAAAAATTGGAGACATCGGAATGCAGTCATTTTCAACCATTGGGAGAGTTTCACAAATGTGCAAATTATAGTATGCATAAAATATATTAACTGGAGGGAAATTTAATATCTTACTATATTTCATGCTAGTGAAAATTTATAAGTTCGGTGCAGGAAGTGCAATGTCAACCTGCTCGTCAAACTCTGGATAAATCTTTAAGAACCTCCTAAGATCTTTCGGTTCTGTTCAAACTTAACTTCTAAATCAGTATAATTACCTAATTGAGAGGTATTCAAGCGAGATTGTTAATTCAATTACTATTTTATAATCATATTTTCCACAAAACCAAAAAGCAGTCGATTACTCGGACCATTTTGGTCTTAAATTCCTGTAAGGATTTTTAACTTTTTTGATAATAAGTCAGCTTGATCAACATGCTATGCGAAAGAAATAATTTGAACGGTGATTCTACAATATCGACCTTGCTATTCACCGTGTTAATTAGAATGAATAGTTGCAGATTTCGTGCTTCAAACTATGAGTTTGCCCAGAGTTTAAATTAACGCTAGTACATTTATTCCTATTTTGAATCCTCTATCTCCTTGATTCAAACTTTAATGTCAACTTGGGGGACTTTGATTTTGAAGGATCAATCTCACCGTATGTGGTGTTTTCCAAGAAAAAACCAGTTGCAAATCAGTGTAAAAACAGAAGTAGGCATAAAAATCATGGAATGGTGGCACTTTAGTCGTCATAATTGTATTGCAATTACGAGAACTTGAAAAGCCGGGTGTTTGTGTTTCCTGTTTAATGTAAAAGAAATATATATTTTTTTGTATTTTTCTTAGCAAGTATCACCTAATTAATCTCACTATTTCTGTTTTGTTCGTTACACGTTGATGGATCAAAAAGCATTGTAGGTAGTCAATTGAAATTACTGATTCCCGTATATTAAATCAAAAAAACATAATCATTTAGGAAGCGTAATGAACAGACGGAGTAATATTACCTTCGAATGATAAAAGAATTTATTCAGAAAATAAATATATAGTTCACCTGATGGGAAAAAGTTCTCGATTGTCTCTGTACCAGACAAATCATTTGGCTTCATTTCCTTCGTCAGTCCCTAACATTATCCTACGTCACTGCTGACATTCTGGTATATATTCTCCAGACTAAACACTAAGAAACAATAATAGCTTTAGAGGATAAAATAGGGAGGACGATAAAAAAGTTTATAAACTGGAAGTTGACTTCTGACTTCAAACTGCCATGACCTCACTGTATGTCATATTCGACCACTTCCGCAGTACTCATCTTACCTTTCTCTGCCTTTGTGTTTGCCCGTCTCTCTGTCTCTTTTATTTTATTGAATCGCTCTTCTGTTCCCCACCCCTGGACTTTCTGCTACTTTGGTAAATCTCCCGCCTGTGAAACCCGAAGTCAGCTGAAAATCTAGTGATAAGTATAATAAAGCCCGTCATTTGATATATATATATATATATATATATATAGTTATTGGATTAAGGACATATCTCGTTAACTAATTATTGTTGGAAATGGGAAATCTCGTTAACAGAATCAAGTGAGATCAATTAATGAAATTATTAGATCACGAAGAACAACCAATTTTGCAGACAACAGTAGGCATTGGTTTTGCCCGCTACTGTTTAAAACTTTATAACATGAGGTATCAATCATACAATGATCAAGCTCTGTTTCAAATAAAGCTCTGTTTATGAACTTGAATAGAGGGCATAAAATTATCCGATCATAGTTATTTTGACCGATTTTATTTCTGGTTGCCACTTTCTTTCCAAGCTAATCGGCCATTGCTAACTTATTTAAACTTATATTTAGTAAATTATTGCTTTTTTAGTTCATATCTTTTGTATTATTTTGTAAAATGAACACTTTGATTCTGGCCGTTATATTATGAATAAACAATATGTTTCTTAAGCCCAGGACATGCTGATACACTCGAATGGATATAATGTAGTCAAAGCTACATGAAGTAGCTGGAGAGGGAACTATTAGGGCTCGGTGGGGTGTGGTGACTGGGGATTTCGATGATAACATCAACGGAATTTGTTTACTCATTTATATAAACCTATTCTTTCCACTAACGCTAACGCTTTATTTAAGCATTCAAACCCACCAAAATTTTGTTTGAGATATTCGGAAAAGGAGGGTATTCCTCTTCTCTATTATCACTTCAATTTTTTGCTAATTAGACCTTAATACGTCTCATTGATAAAGTTTGCAAGATCTTTGTCTTCACAGTTTTGTTTCCTCAAAGTCTTATATGATCTAATAAGCGCTGGTGCCCGAGCAGTATGGATAACGCACCAAGGTTAAGTATTTTTGTTTGCATTTTATTACATATTCAATTAGAATTTAAGATTTATCTGATCCTCTAAAGTCAATAGTTTTGCTATTCCTCTATCTCATGTTTCAATCCTGGTAGCAAATTTTCAGATGAGGATTCGATATAGCACAGTGGAACCAAAAATGGGTTCTGATAGATCAGCCAATGACATGGTCTTCAATTTAATCGTTGGAAAGTGAATTTCTTATAATAATCGGCTCAAGTATATCTTCCTTTCATCCAAATCAAGTCATGTGAAAATGACATGGAAAGTAATTTTTAACTGGTAAATTTTCATCACCACTGGTTCTATGCATCCCAATAGCTTCTTCACGGAACTTGAAGCGCGCACTCACTGTTCAAAATTCGGAAATTCGAATGATCAAAAAAATTTTCCCTGCCATTTTATCTTCTAAAAAACAAATATCGGTAAACCTTGTCTATTGATATTGCCTTTTTATTACAAGGAAAACCTAGTGTTTGCGAGTGGAATGTTTACCTATTTCAAGGCTAAAACTCTTTTTTTTGAATGTCCAATGTTAATAAAATGTGTATTTCTAAATACGTTACACACGTGTTGTCAAAATATATTCTCAAAAATGTCTTTTTGAAGCGAAGTTAAGTGGGGGAATTGAGATCCTATTTTAAGGCTGATTTTCTTTTAAACCTTGTGAAAGAGCATTGTTTGAAATTTCCTGATTAAAATGAAATCTAAGGCATGAGAACTTGTCTTCGTTCTCAGTCGCCATTCTGGGGCTGAAATAGCTAGTTCCCAATAAAAAGAAGATTAAGCTATCAGCAAATGCAACTCAAATGATCATGCTATCTTAAAATGCAGGTTCATATATCACTTCTCGGCTGTATACCTACCGTTTAATTTTAATTATTTCCAAACTGTTTGCTTTACCAGATTGTGAAGTTGGAAACTTTTCTCACTCTTTTGTCATTGATGTAGAAAAGTACGCAATAAAAAGCTTCCAAATCTATTTATCGTGATGAGCCAAGATCTAGCAATGCATTTTTTAAGGCACAAACGTCACCTTTCCTTTCTTTCCACGGGAGAGCATAGGGGCTTCCTTATGGTACATGCTCATTTATATGATGTATTGGAAGGCACAGGGCCTATCAAGTCAGAAATTAAAATTTCCATTCTTATATTTGCGCATCCAGAAAAGTTGATGCGCTGGTTAAAGCATTCTGGTCGTGGTAAAACACGAGTCCTGCATCAGAGCGGCTCCAGAAGGCATTAAATTTATTAAATTCATTTCAAAGGCTTTTAATTGAAATGTGACCTTTTACTTGTCGCAGGCGTGGAGGAACTAGTGCTTCATAATCTCTCTCTCTCTCTCTCTTGTTTGATGATGACCCAGCTTTGTTTCCCATTTACGCAATCACTGATCAAGTTGAATTATTCCCTATCATAATCTGTTTCTGCCCAACAAATATCAGTTTCGTATCGAGCAATGAGACACAATTCTTTTATAAGTTAGTTTATTAGTTCGTTATCGAGTTCATTTTGGAAGCGTCTCTATTTTAATCCGTTACCATCTTTCGCTACAAATTGTCACTGTGTGACTTTTAAAAAACGCCAATGAAAAGCAAAGAGCAATGCTAAGATTAAGGTTTGTACTTTAAAGCCTTAGAGTTCTTAATAAGCGGTGGACAAAAAGGTTGAATTCTTGTTCCAGCCAAAATGGTGGCAAATAGTCAAATCATTAGTCCTGAGTTTTATATCGGGGTTCAAATAATTCCAGATTCACGTAAGTTTTATGCTTGTTGAATGAACACTCATTTAATTGAGAGATATAATACACAATCCATAACTAAACATATTTACTTGTAAAATATTAGAAAACTACAACGTGGTCTAATCCTAGAAAGCTATGACTTTAGCGGTTTCGCTGAACACGACTAAAGTCAATGCTTTCCTACTATTTCCATTTCTATACTCTTTTTTCAAATATATCTCATTCATTTTTCTAAAAAGTTGCAGATTTTGTATGTTAATTTATAGTCTTTGAATTTGGGATCTATGTTATTATTGTTCTTTAAATGCCCAAAGTAAGTTTATTTGAAACACTTGTTTTAATTCAAATGATATTATCAATCGATAAATTCATTAATATTAGCATCCACCGCAAAAAATATATGTACGTTTAAATCATGAAAGTATGCCCCAGCGCATAATTTATTAAAATACTCCTGTGTGGTAATAGAGAACGCGATTATTTCAAGAGTCTTCCTTTAAAAAATGAGAGCATTGCGTTATCTATATTCTCCTAAGGGACGTGAGTGATAAATTTCAATGCCCTTATAATCTAGGAGAATACATATCATTTGTAATCATCAATCGATTAGCGGTTACAATGGATTTGTCGGTAGCGGCACTTCAGTTCATTCTAGTCCACCAATCGCAATGAAATTAGTCAGTACAATTTAAGTTAATTCTCACCAAAATTAATAAAAAACAGATTGGTACTTTTACACTCACAACACTTCTCAAATTTCACTAAAATTGAGCCACACAATTGTTATCTTTCAGTGTTAAAGTGTTTTTCTTATTTCTTTTACAGGGCATTTTGTAGCGGAGGTGAAACATGTTTACTACACGGGCTTCCGAATATACTTGTCGAGTGCCTATAACTTTATGATCTACTGTATCCTCTCGCTATATATAGCCAGCTACACGCTTCGGATTATTGTTTACGGATGGCTTCAAGATGCGGATGCCGCTGTCAATGCAAGTAAAATCATCGAGGATCTTATCCGAAACAATGAGAGCTCAAAAGTAAAGTCGATGGTAGCAGAATTGAAAGCGTCACAACCAGGCCATATCAGCTACTTTATTGAAGCATGTAAGGAAATTTAAACTTGAATTCTTTCTATGCCTTGTATTTTAGCTAAATCTACTACGCATTAAATCCAATTTCAGCGTATTCATTAATGTAATTATAATTCACTAGGTAACTGAATCAATGACAGGCAGAGTGGCAAATGAGTAGAGTAAGTGTTGTCAAGACAATGCTATCTCATAATTGCTTAACTGGATTTCCACTTTTAATAATATGGCCATGAGTGGCAGTAGATAGTAGATCGTTACCAGGGAATCTCCATAATTCTCATGAAAAGTATAAATCAAATACATTATCTTTAATTTTATTTGATACATTAAGCAATAATCAACGTGTACTTTTATAATAAAAAGAAACTAGAATTACATATTCAAATCATGTTTACTTATTTTGAAAAGTTTTAAATGCTATCTGGAAGCTCAGAAGTCAATTTAAAACTTTTAAAGAAACTATTTTGTTAGATAAAATAAGAAAAGAGACTACACAAGATGAATATTTGGAGAGGTGCCAATTAAATTGGGGTATAGATGAACAGTGGTGATTTGTATTTGGGCTCGAAAGAAACTAAGAATCAACCCATTATAATGCCTTATTATTATTGTTGTTCGAGGAGCGGTAAAAATATCTCCTAATTTTAATTTTGGAATGGCGTGGGCGTTTGATGGAGGTATTCAAATGAGTTGAAGGAAGACAAACAATAAGTGGGTAAATAAGTCAGTGGATTGCAAATTAAATCAATTACTACTTCCAGAATATTGGGTTAATCATATTTTCAAAATGGAGGCGGATGAACATTTTCAATCTTCACTGCTAAACTCTCAAGCTTATGAATGCGATTGCGACCATGATAATGAGATCTATTTGTCTAGTAATTTCTCGCTGTGGGTGATCATGTCCCTAGATCCTTTGTTTATCACTTCAAATCCAAGGTTAAGTATATGTTAGTAGTGGCTTTAACAATTATCATGGCACAACTCAGCATAGCTCACAGAAAGTGAATGTATTCACTCGCCTTCCCAAACTGAAGCTGGAACTAGCAACCAATGGAGTCAAGGTCTTTTTCCCCTACTCTAAAAGAGATAAATACTTGTAGACTTCACATAGAAAGCTTAACAGAGTGTTTAAGTGTCTAAAGTAACACTGATTTCAAAAAGTGCTACCTTTTATTATTTATTTATTTGAAGACTTCAAGATATCTTTAAGGAATCTACCTACTCTAAGCAGCAAATAGACATCATAATCTTTCTTATAATCAGAAGGATGATAATTTTAATAGATCGGAGACATACATGGAGAGAGGAGAAGGAATGGAAAAGTGTAGAAGAGTGCGAAGTAAAATGATAACTAGTTGATGCGTCATGTGACCTTCTACTGGTAAGTTAACAAAACAACGTCATGTTAATGTGACCTAAGAAGACGCTTAGGCCAAGCAAGACCATAGTTCACCACCTTTCGTGAGCAACGTATTCACCAGTTCCTTGAAATTAATTAGCATAGAAGTAATATATGTATATAGATAAATAAGAGAAGATTCGAAAGGTTAAAAGTGGCAATCGGCACCAAGCATAAGCCATTGCAGTGGCTTTCACGGAATCTCATACTCTCCTGCAGAAATCGGAAAACTTAAAATTATATTGAAGTATTTTATTTCCTTAAAACAACTAGAATTACCGACGTTATGATTTTACAGTGCTTTATCAATGCTAACCACCCGTATTTCTAAGTCCCTAGGGTTGAACCTAGATTCCGAAACTTCCAGTACTACCACCCTGTTTAATGGTTTCAAATGCCATACTAATTGAGCTTGCGTTTCAATATATGTCCTCTCTTGCTCTTATAATTGAATAAATTTTATAAGTTTGATTGCATTGTATCACTATTTGAGCCCATGTTGGTGCGTGTGTTTGTGTGTGGGCCTAGAACTTTATGATGTAGGCAATATTCATTTTGCGTTCGTCAGATATTCAGAACACCTCTCTCACCATTTTAAAAGCAGATTACGCCAATATACTAGATTGTTCCTTTAACCACACGCTTAAAAGGTTTTGTTTCTTAACTCAGAGACGCAACCACACTTTTGCTGTCAGTTAACAAAAAAATCTATGCTAATCCATCCTTCCAATTTTATCTTAAAGAAGTAGACAACCCGGAAATATTTGAAATCAAGATTTTCAGAGGACAAAAACAGCTAATCGGTTTTTGAAATCTTACATCTTTGTATTGATATCGTTAAAATCAACTTCATAGGATATATATTTCCTATTAATAGCTAAATAACTTATCGATTAAAATAGTTGGTGGATTCAAATTGGGACGCGTTCAACTGAAAGTGGGAACAGAAATCACACAAAAATAAATTGTTCTTGGGTAAGACTTTAAATTACCGGCATGATTTTGATCAAACCATTGTTAGTGTGAATTTAAACAAAATTTAATTGATCTTCAAAGTTTAAAACAGGTCACATTTCCAACTAAGGACTTTACACGTGGTGAAATTTTGAAAGAAATTTCAAAATATTTGCTACACAAAGTATCATAAATTTGCCCATTATTTGTCAAAGCTGTAGATATGGCCTAAATAGACCAGTCTGACATTTGGGCAGTTGCTTAAACTTTTACAATCTTTTTACAGTCCCCACTTTGACTATTTTTTGCCTAAACTTAGTTTAACTCGTGATTTTCAAAGTAAATAAAGCGTAGGATTTGTTCAAGGTAAAACAAAGGCACTCAATAATGACGTTTTATGTTATTTTTTCCCAAAATGTGCAGGAACCTAAGATGCCTCTTTTACTTCATTTACTGGTGCTCATTTAGTGGGTTTCACTAAACTTTTCTAACTGAGCACAATAACTAATAAGATTTTTCAAATAGGAAATCACTAACTGAATATCATTTAATCCCTTAAATCAGTTTCACCAAGAGGATTCAATTATTATTTATTAATTAACACAAAATTCATGGAGCATTATATGGATAAAGGACATAAAATATTTTAAGTTACCTTTGATTTGAATAAATTCTTTACATATTTTGGCATGCATGTATTTGAGGTTACGAAATATGTACCCATGCCAGATGGAGCAGATTTGAATTCCGCCTGCATGGAACTGGGATTCAAATTTCAAGACTCCTCCACTTGCCAATATATTTATTTATTTGTTTCAAATGGCGGATGTTTTGATGGTCATCGTTGGCCCTTTAGTTGACTTCAGGCTTCACAGCGGGAAGTAACATCAAAGTGTAAAAGTCGAGAGGGCAGGGGGTGGGGGAACAGAAGAGTGTTTCAAAGATGTAAAAGAGTCATTCATACACAAAGGTAGAAAGGTGAGGTGAGTACTATGGAAGTGGTAGAATATGGTATACAGTTGGTCCATTGTAGTTTGAATTCAGAAGTCAACTGCCGGCTAATAGACGTTTTTGCCGTATAAGCATACGTTGCCCAGGGTGCACCACGTGGAGGTAAGTCTATCGCACACCCCACACCCCAAATATATATATATATATATATTGAAAAGCACTTAAAGTGTCTTATGCTTATTATTTAGAAATTAGAAGGCTTAAATTTATTGAAGCCAGAATTAAATGGATTATTCGAGAGCACTCTGTATTCAAAGGAAAAGCTAAAACTGATTGCCGCTAGAGTTGTCATGATTAATGATGCTCATTTATAATAACTACATTTAATAACTTTGGACATGGGGTCAATGGTTCTTGCTACTGCATTCATGCAATGAAGTGGCATTTGGATTTTAAATATGTATTTATTTTATTCGAAATTATACGAATTTGATAGATCCAAAGGTTTTACGGGATAACGAGGCTCGATATTCCATTCCACTTTCACTCAATGTAAATGACCATGCCCATCATTCTGTTAAGAGAAGATCTTCTGCGAAATTAAAGCTCAAATACACTGATTGGGGTAAGTCTAATTAATAAAGGAGTTGATTCACTTTAAATTTTCCACCAGGGATGATGACCAAACATGGCTGTGACGGTTACAATACGATAAAGTGCCATTTGACAGATTATTAGTTATAAATTTCCTTTTTTAAACAAAGTTTAGTATCATCATTGAATTTCTTAGTGGCACATTTTCCTTAGAATCCACAAAAATATAATATTTGACGTTTGGAACTGTTCATTTGCAAAGCGATAGACCGATTTGTTTGTAAAATTTTCGCCAAATCGACTTTAGCACTATCCACTATCTCAGTTTTCAGCATACTCGAAATACCATAATTCCAAGATGAAATTCTCAACTTTGGTAGTTGAGTAAATTCTAGTTACTTCAAAAAGGGTCAATTTATGTGGAAGTTACATTAATTCCGCCCAATACTTCTTTGTACGTGAGATAGTAAACATGTCGGAGGACATAGATTAAATGTACATTCTAAAGTAAGTAAGCGGCCATAGTCTTTGATCAATGGGCATTAAATTAATTCTTCGAAATCATCACTCTGACAGTTTATTTTTTCTTCTCATTAATAGAACAAGGAAACCGAAATCCCCATAACTATAATTTAATTAATTAATTGACGCAAGAATAGCAACGATAACTCATTTCTATTGTAGCCAAGGAAAAATGGTATAACTCCGTTCAATGATATATCTTTCCTTTCAGAATTTTCTTCAAAACAATATGTTACCTTTTTCTTCAGTAAAGTTGACAATAATCAGCAGTTTTAACAACTTCTTTCGTTGTTTTAAACAATATATCCTTTTTTCTTCCTATTAACAACTCTAAACATCATTCATCCCTTCTCGCGTCAAATTTCTGTCAAGCTAATTGTTTGTTTTTTCCTGTTAAATCTTTCAAAAACTAGCCACATGCCAATTTAAACTAACACCAGGGGGGATAATTGCCACAACGATATATATATGTGTGTGTGTGTACGCAGACGCTTCCTCGACGTGGTACTGAAAGCACCATTTAGACGTTTTTTGGGTCCCTCTCTTTCTTGCTCCCACTTAGAGCACATAAAGTGAAGACACTTTTTCCAGTTTAGTGGACATTTTTCGCCTTGGTAAAGACTTTTCCCTCCTATGAAATATTCAGAAATACTCGATCCGTAACTTCCGTGCCTCGGTATTGAAATATTTTCCAATAAGATTCGTAGTTTGGATTTAATTACAGTTAAAACCACTTTTTCCTGCATTTTAGATATTAGAGGTTTTAGTTAACTCCGGCTTTGAACAGATCTGAACAATAAAAGGAAAGCGCTACAAATGGAAGCATTTTTTTCGGAAAATGATCTGTGCATTTTTCACCGTGGGAAAGCCCGTGAAGAAGGAGAATAGCGTAGAAATTCAAACTTAGCAACACCATTGACTTCCGTTTGACATGTGAAAAATATGCGAACACCGTTCGCATTTCTTAAAATTCTATTGTTTGTTTGACAGGTATTCAAATTTTCTATTCTCAGAATATCTTTACTAGTCAAATCTATGTGCCCACTACTCTTAGAGTGAACTATGGTAAAGGAATAATCTTTCGAATAAAGACCATATATGCAACTCAATGGCTTCATAATTTGCATAGATCATAACTCTTTACTATTTATGGAAACACAATTTACTGCTCAATTGCGATATTCTGCTGCTTCCGGTGTTTAGATAATATATCATGCCTTAGCCTGTAAAAAAATATTTTTTTTGCATTTTCTGTGGGAAATATTAATAAGGAAATGTCCAGTTAGTGGCATTGACATTGGCTGAATAGTTGTTTATTGATTATTTGTTGAGGAAATTTTTGTGAGACTTCCTCTGTTAGGCTAATTAAAGCCTCATTTCATTCTAGTAATGGCTAGGCATTGGACCTCATCACATTACCATCACGCAATTCGCTATCAGTTGCAATCATTTTTCTTATGTGCGGGTTTCTTAAGAACTCAAATTTATGCTCCATAAAAGTAGTTTTGAGTAAATGTGTTGTCTAACTAATAAATTAGAAATAATTGCATCAATTTGCAATATATAGTTGTAGTAGGAAATGGAAATGCTTCCTATGGTAAGTTTATCTTCGGAATTTGTGATCGGTAATTGTAAAGCTTTTGTTTACTGAAAGCAATCTTAAACCCTTCAATTCTGGGAATATTCAGGCGAGTTGCAGTTTTATAAGCCCTCTGAATCACTTTTAGATATATGCTGTAGATGAAAGATATTGTTGCATGAGTCTGTGGTGTTGGCACGCTCAAACACTTCAGATCTCTTTTTGAAAATTGAAAAAAATAGCATTAAAGTGGGATAAACAAATAATTTTTTAAAAACATAAATATAGGGATGCTGTATCTGAGCGTGCGATTAGTTCAATAATGTTAGTTAAATAATTGCTTTCTGTGGAAGTCAAAGTTTCGAATGGTTCATTTTGTTTTGTGTCACCGCAAGAGGCGTGTTTCACTATAACATTATTTATACAACATCGGTTCATTTCCCAATACTTTACCTTATGAATCGATGCAAATTAAATTTCACAATAATCATTTTTCCATTTTTTTTCCAAAGTGAATCTAAAATTATTATTTTCTATAAATTTGTGTATGGGCAATAGATATGGACAAAATTACAAAAAAAGCTGATTTTGAATCGGTGGAGCTAAGATTAGCACCTTCTAACTAACGTCAATAGGTATTCAAGTGGGAAGGAAGGACTTAAAGAAGAATAAGGGAAAGCCTGAGAACAAAATTTTGTAACTGACGTGTGATTGGTAATTTGAAGGTGAAAACTCATTTATTCCCAAAATAGACGCGTAGAAAACGATAATTGAAAACAGCACAAAGGAACGTGAAAAGGTAAACAATTTGCTTTCAAATGGGAAAAATTAGTAATACACAAATGATCAGATGAAATTTTAAAGTTTTGAGGGGGGGAGGGATTTATGTTAACATGGAGATCTTGTACTCTTCTTAGTAGGCTATTTGTTACTACTTAGAAGGAGAACCGATTGAAAAGAGTAGAAGCAATAGAAAGTCAAATTGGCATAGGTCTTTAAAATATAGAAAATAATAGGCTTAAAGAAAATTGGAAACGTAAACATAATATGGCAAACTCGAATGCAATTTAGTGATATGTGGATGAGAATAATGTTAATAAATTGATTTACAATTTTAGCACTGTTACCACTTTCCAATCACATGAAATCCTTAAAACGCCGTAGACTGCAGATAGGTCAAACAAGTAGCCATATGTCATTTTCTGTGAATGAATTTAATTCACTTAATAGTTTCTTATTTCTTTAAGGGTCAATTTTTAAGGTTATCATCAGCTCTCTTAGTCAATTTGAGTAATAAATCATGACGTAGCTTTCATATTTACCCTATATGTGTCTAACTTTTGCCTCACATAAAGGAACTCTATCCAACGCAAACCTGTCGATTAGTCTTAAATTCAAGTTTGAATTTGATTTTCCATATAATAAATCCTTTCGCACAAACGACAGTTATATTACTAGCCATTTACCGATTGGAAAAATGCCTCAAGGTAACGATGGAGGTTATGCTTATACAAAGAGTTGACTAATTTGACACTTTCTACTTTTGTTAACTAACTAACTAACTAGTTGTGTTTTTCCACTCCATTTTCTGTTTGAATTCTCCTTGTTAATTGCATTTATTGTCTCGCAACCCTTTTCATTAGGAAATTAATTTACTGCCTGATAGATGGTAATGATGGCATAGAATAAGTATGGCAATGAAGAGCATCCAAGGACAATTACCAATCGAAGTACCTATCTGCCCCCTTCTGGTTGATTTCTGCATTTTTGAAACTGACTTCGAAATTTGCTATAAAATGCTATCTTAATGCTATTAACATTGCAAACACATTGGTTGCAAATCATTGCAATATGTTGATATCGATCTAAATCGGTGTTCAAATAGAAAATAACAGAAGGTATTGAACTCTAATTAAACCTCCAGTGGTTAAAATATTGGGTAGCTAAAAAGGTTGAAGGAACATTTGAATTTACCACTTAGAACCATAAAGTTAACTGTCTGCTAATTTACTTTCCTTAGCGCGATTTCAATGGTCTCCAAATGATCCGGAGATTATCTCAGATGTATTGTTCGCCATCGCCAATGTCCTCAGTTTCGCGCGAACTACTTACCTGATGCCAGCCTTTGAGGCCCTGGGTCCACTACAAATCTCTTTCACTCGAATGCTGACTGACATCGTTCGCTTTATGGTTTTATACGTCTTGGTGAGCATGAATAGGCATATCTAACAATAAGTATTACTAGTCTTATCTATTTGCTTAGGCTTCCTGGCTGTGGGTCATCTATAAACCTTAATCCATCCCAGTAAACCCCATAACCATTTTACCAGACAGTTAAATAAAAGACAATTTATTGTCCTTCAACCTGTCTACTGTTACACCCTTTAACTACCTAATTTGATGGACGGGGCCGCCAATCTTAAGCTCATTTGAAAATCAAATTTTAAATCGAACCAATTTGGTCATGGTTTCGTAATTTTGGCTGCAAAGAGGAAAATAGGCTGTGTGTGTTACATGATCATACCTTAGAATTGAAGTAATTTCCATATCTATACCAATTACCATTGTTTGAGGCCGATTATCACTTGAAATATCAAGGCAAATAATTAGGAATGGGAACAATTTTAGGTCATTAGGGGGATAACTAAGTTGTGGGAGTGTTTTCCATTTAACTCCAGTGTATTTTGTCTGGCGTGCTTTCACACGTCTACCCTACCCCCCCCCCTGTTGAGGACTGTCCTTGATCTAATTAAATGTCACTAGGTGTCATTTGAGGTTAGACGGGGACAAATAAAAAGTGTAATTAACGCGCTCCAGTGTCCGCCGAGGTAACCAATACCACATCTCAAAAGTGTAAACAAAAAGTGCTCCTTTCTATCAGAGCAATTTCTCTTTAACTTTTAACCACTTTAATTAACGCGCTACCGAATCCGCTATGCTGATCAATAACATGCCTAAAGTTGTCCTCTGTACTATTTTACTTTACAGGCAAGTTATTACAGAGATGGCAAGATTTAAAATGAATGAAGAATATGCATAAACTTGACTGAAAATATTCAACATGGTTCACTGTAGATAAACATTGAAATTACTTTATAATGGCCCCTTGATGTGTGCTATTGCCTTCAAAACAAAAGCCCCCACGATGGTGCAGTTTTGCGGTCAGTCTTCGTGACGTTGTTATTGAAGAGCCAAATTAATTAAGTAAAGCTGGGTGGTCACTGCAATTGAAATGCCCTTCAACCCCACCCACACCCGCCACCTCCATCCATCCCCACCCCCGACCATCCCCAATATATTACTAGGCGTTTACTGCCTCAGACTGAGAGAGCAAGACAGGATTCATTCGTTTAAAAAACTATTCCTTCATAAATGGCTTCAAGTAGCAATAATAGTCATCATAATGACAGCGGCATTTCGAGACCAAAGTACAAAGTAAACCAAAGCTTTGTGCCAAGATACCATCAAACTGTGAATAGTTCTGTGTGAATTGACACTGATAGACCTTAAGTGCGATCTGGAGACTAACTGCGGCAACAGATTTTTCATTGAATATCTCATTTATTGTATTCACTAGGTCATATTTGCTTTCATGGTTGGTCTGCATAATCTCTACTGGTACTATGGCATCCAAATGATAAATGATTCACCAAACAGCACTGTAAAGCAACCTTCAACTGAGGTGTTTGAGGGGTATGTCTCGCTTTCAACCTGCAGCTCGAACGCACGTGGATTAAAAACAAACTCATTCATTTATTTTCTTTTTTTAGTCTGCGACATACGCTTTACAGTTTGTTTTGGGCCATGTTTACTCAAGTCAGTTTATCAAAACTACCTATTCGTAGACCGGGTAAGCGCAAAGTCTTTGCATATTTTTTTCATAACTTTCGTCGTTTTAATGAAGATCGAGTTTTTAGGTTCAATTTTTCGTCTAGCTTTGACTCTAACCTTCGAGTTATTTACTGTTCTAGTAGTGATGTCAATAATCGACCCGTTTATTAAATGACCATCAAACACTTTTCTCGATCAAATTTTGAAATAATGAAGAGGTTTATCCAATCCGATTTAGCCCTAAAATTCTAATTTACCTAACCAAATATTAGGTTTATATTTATGTGCATATGTGCCAAAAATTCATTTTCTTACTATATATATGTATATATATATAGTCAAATTTGCGACGCTGTGAATTTGTTGTAATAAAATTTGATCTAAAGGTTCAGTTTATGACCTATTTCCAACAATTCATATAAAATTTAGAAGCCCCATAGCCCACCCCAGAGAAAAACAGTCAGGTGCTAAACCGAATTTAATTATCCTTTACAGATCATTTGAATACACAAAGGAGATAATAATGAAACTCATGGAGTTCATTTGAGATAGATAATAAAAATACCATTTTTTCAAGAAAATTACTCATTGCATAGCTTTATCCCACTTTAATACAATTTTCCTCAATGAAGTTAAGGGTGAAGAGGAAGAATAGGAGATGAGGATAATCTTAATAAAAGCAGCAGGGTCTGGTATTCGAGCCATTTGGGAGTGCATGAATAAGTGTTTATGGAAATGTCTTAATTACAATCAGTAAGATAATTTATATCAGATGGCAGACGTTTTGATGGTTATCATTATCCCTTTAGTTGACTTCAGG